GCGTGAGGTACCCCTCAAGAGGAAGAGGCAGTGCTGTGGGGAGGGGGCAGGAGGGGCTGCACCTCGGGGAATTCTTCGGCCCGAGCCCCCAGGTCCTTAGTCCTCCCATCTAGAAGGAGCTGGTGCAGACGCACACAGTCACGCGGCCCACGCTCTTCATCGCGGGCCCCGGACCCAGGCCACTGCAGCGGGCACCAGATGTCACCGCCTCGGCAGAGCAAGCTGCAGGGAGGGACAGGCGTTCTTTCTGGGAGAACCGGGTCACAGGCATCAGGAGGAGGAGGACACAGGACGAGCTGGCAGGTCCCCACGGCCACTCCCAGCCCTCGTGGGAGACGGAGCGGGCCGCCGTTTGCACAGCAGGCTCGCGCCGGGCACGGGACAGGTGTCAGCGGCTCCCGGCGGAACGTGCTGGTGCCACGAACCGCAGCCGCCCAAACTCCGTAAAAACGCTTACGTTTTTATGCCCTTCCTAACCACTGTTTTAAGCGTATGTCCCTCAACTGTCTTCTAGGTGTGGTAGAATTCACTATTCTAAGACACGAATCTTCTTTTTCTTTTTTTTTTTTTTTTTTTGAGACAGAGTCTCACTCTGTTGCCCGGGTTGGAGTGAGTGCCGTGGCGTCAGCCTAGCTCACGCAACCTCAAACTCCTGGAGTCAGGCGATCCTCCTGCCTCGGCCTCCCGAGTAGCTGGGACTACAGGCATGCGCCCCCATGCCCGGCTAATTTTTTCTATATATTTTCAGTTGGCCGATTAATTTCTTCTTATTTTTAGTAGAGACGGGGTCTCGCTCTTGCTCAGGCTGGTCTTGAACTCCTGACCTTGAACGCGATTCTCCGCCGTCGGCCTCCCAGAGTGCCTAGGATGACAGGCGTGAGCCACTGCCCGGCCCCAAGACACAAATCTTACAACAGTGGGCGTGGTGGGGAAGAGAGAACCATGGGATCAATTTGCCCCTGGAAAGGAACGTTACCTCCCCTAAATGCCCGTGACATCCTAAGGGCCTTTAGTAGGATTGACTCCTGAGTAGCTGGGACTACAGGCATGCGCCACCATGCCCGGCTAATTTTTTCTATATATATCTTAGTTGGTCAATTAATTTCTTTCTATTTATAGTAGACACAGGGTCTCGCTCTTGCTCAGGCTGGTCTTGAACTCCTGACCTTGAGCAATCTGCCCACCCGGGCCTCCCAGAGAGCTAGGATGACAGGCGTGAGCCACCATGCCCGGCCTCTTTGTAATTTCTGAGAGCTGGCAAGAGGTCTTTTGCAGCCTGGATGGAAGGGCAGTGTCCTCGTAGTCACTCCTGGTGTGGAATAGCAGTTGCGAGCACGTATTCCGGAGTCCCTTAGAGCACTTTTGCGGTCACTCAGGGACGTGCCCCCACGGGTGGGAGACCGGAGTCGCCCACGGCGCGCCCACGTGGCGCGGCTGGGGCCGAGCAGCCCGTGCGGAGCTCTGCCGCCTGGTCTCAGCTTTCGAGCTGCAAACGAGAGTCCTTTCCGCCATCTACTCAGTGCCACGTTTTTCGTGCTTCTGTGCTTTTCGTTGGTGGCTTTGCTGTCTGAAATGGCCCCCAGCACGGTGCCGAGGGAGCGTCTAAGGTTCCTGAGCCCAGAAGGCTGCGGCGTGCCTTGTGGGGAAAGGGCACGTGGCAGCCACGCTTTTCCAAGCGTGGGTTCAGGGTTAACGAACCAACAGTGTATACTAATAAGGTGTCTTTAACCAGAAACTCACGCGAAACAAGGTCATGTACCGATCGGTTGATGAGAAGGTTGTGACCGGAGGCTCAAAAGACCCCAACCCTGTATCTCCCCTGAGGAGCAATGGCTCGGGTGTTTGCTGGTCACCACTTTATGGGTGCGCAACTCAGATAACGAGACTTGACCGTAGGTAGTGCACATACACATGATGTATAAACACACACACCATATATAAATACACATGCACACACATAAAATAACACATACATGAGTGCATGCATACATGTACACATATAAATGCACATAAATCATATGTGAATATATAAAACCAATATACTTTATGAATATAAGAAATAAATATATTAAAACAGGTGCACGCATGAAAAACGTTAACATTGGCGACTCTCGGTGAACCATGCACAGGTGCTCATTGTACAGTGTTTCCATCTTTTCTGTAGGTTTGGAATTTAAAAAAAAAAAATTAGGGGCTTTTTGTTTTTGTAAGTTTAAAGCTGGGAGTGGATGGGAAGAAAAGTATTGAGAGAAATCACGCTCTGGGGCTTGGGGCAGCCTGAGTCAGGTGGAAGCTGTTCTGAGTCCCGCGGCTCGTCTGCCCTCCCCGTCCCAGGACGAGGTCTGCTCCGGCAGGGAGGGGGCAGGCGTGACGGAGTGTGTCCCCCGGGCAGTGCCTGGTGTCCCCCACCCACCCACCCCCGGCCACCGGGGCTGCCCGGGCAGATGCGGAGGGCGCCCACTCCCCTCGCTGAGCCGCCCGGCCTCTGCCATCTGTAGCTTCCCGGTGATCCTGTCCATAGAGGAGCACTGCAGCGTGGAGCAGCAGCGCCACATGGCCAAGACCTTCAAGGAGGTGCTTGGCGACCTGCTGCTGACGAAGCCCACGGAGGTCAGCGCCGACCAGCTGCCCTCTCCCAGCCAGCTGCGCGACAAGATCATCATCAAGGTGGGTCACCTCAGGCGCCGCCTTTTGTGGTCCGGGGAGTCCCGTGGCTCAGCGCTGGGGCTCCGGGTCCCACTGCTCCCCTCTTACCAGCCCCGGCGGCACCCTGGGGGAAACTCATTTAACTTCTTGGGGTGCCTGTGTCCTCACCAGTCTCGGGGACAATACTGGAGCCCGCCTGCTTAGCTTGCCCAGGAGCATGGCGAGGAGGAAGGCGTGCAAAGTTCTTGGAGCTATGCCTGTCCCACATGTCCCCAAGGTTCTTTGGCAAACTGTCCCCAAGGTTCTTTGGCAAACTGTCCCCAAGTCCCTGAGTTGGCCCTGTGCAAGGTTTTGGAGACGTTTTTGCCCTCGGGAGCTCCCGGCTATGGGAGGTGGGCAGCTGCTGACAAAGGCTGTGATGAGAACAGGGGCTGGTGTCCCACATGCGCTGGGGGAGGGATGAGTGAATTGTGTCTGTGCTCAGGGATGCCAGGGTGACATTTGGGTATTTGTGTTATTAGGCTAAAGACACCAGATACACATTTGGCTATTTGTGTTATTAGGATAAAGAGACTAGATACGCAGTGGGTTAAAGCATATGAGAGTTTATTTCTTCCCGGTATGGGGAAGAATCTTCCAGAAGTTTTGAGCTCTGGCCCACAGATTGATTCAGGCACCCACGGTCTTCATATCCTGCTCTGCTGTTGCCCAGGGCAGGGTTTTCAACTGGGGTTTCACGGACCCCAAAGAATCTATGGTTAGAATTCAGGGGGTCATGTGAACTTCAGTGGGGAAAAGAATTACGTCTTTATTTTTATTAGCCTGTACATAAAACTTCACATTTTCCTTCCGTTATGAACATTGGCAACAAGCCACTTGGGGCTTTGTCACCAGGAGAAGTCACGGGTATTTTCATACCACGTTTGTCGCCGTTGCAGATATTTCAGAATAATGTTCTGCCTGACACTGCTCTGGAATTATGGAGGTTATTAGATCCGCCTCTAGATCTTATTTAAGATGTTAATACAGAAGGACATGTATTTAGTGTATTGCAAATGTATTTTATTTAATATCTTAATAATTGTATTTCAACGTGATTGGTGTCCCTTATAATGTTATGCATTATTAACACTATAAGAAAGGGGGTCTGTAGTCCTCCCCGGCTTCCAGAGGGGCCCGTGGCACGGAAATGGGGAGGACCGTCCGCTCTAGGGCCCTGTCCCTGTCTGTGTGGCGAGGTCTTGCACACACCCAAGTTCCAGCTCACAGGAAGTGAAATGCAAGGGCACCCAGCACAAATGCAAGGGCACCCAGCACAGATGCAAGGGCGCCCGGTACAGATGCAAGGGCGCCCGGCACAGATGCAAGGGCGCCCGGTACAGATGCAAGGGCGCCCGGCACAGATGCAAGGGCGCCCGGCACAGATGCAAGGGCGTCCAGCACAATGCCGGCTGTGGAGGCTGCCTTTCCCTATACGCTGGACAGTGCCAGGCACACGGGCCTGTCCATTCAGCAAATACTTACTGAGCACTTACTAGCTGCCAGGTGCTGCTAAGTGTTGTCCTAGCACGGGAGACTCGACAGGGAGCCAGACAAAATCCCTGTCCTCCTGGGGCTTAAATTCTATTAATAGCAAGGAGGACAGACAAACAGACACATGTCGGGGCAAGAATACAGAAAAATAAAGCAGTCCTGGGGCTAGAGAGTGGCGGGGACGGGAAGGGGATGAGGGATGTTTCTAGATCAAGTGGCAAGGAAAGCTCCTCTGGGGGTAGAGCTGAGTGTGGAGCGAGAGAAGTCCGGCAGAGACGACAGGCCGTGCAAAGGCCCTGGGGTGGGACGCTGCAGGTGAGCGCTCGCTGGCCGGCTGATGGGGGCGGGTGCTTGCCGGCCTGGAGACCTACACTTGGATCTCGAGGGAGACCGGCTGTGTGGATTTTTTTCCTCCTCAGCATAAGAAGCTGGGCCCCCGAGGTGACGTGGATGTCAACGTGGAGGACAAGAAGGACGAACACAAGCAACAGGGCGAACTGTACATGTGGGATTCCATCGACCAGGTGGGCCCGGGCCCCTCCTCCCACCTGCTGTGGCCACCGGCCCTGCTGGAGGGCTCTGAGAACATTCCCGTCTTACTCCCGTTTTGAGCCGAGTGCATTTTTGCCAAGGGAGTTTATCTTCATACTTAAACCTTGTTTTTCTTTTGCATTTTTAATGTATTTTGGGAAATAATTTTATATTCAATATAAGATGTATTCACAGAAACAAACAGTGCAGAGAATCCCCATATACCCTTGCCCAGCTTCCCCTAATTAATATCCTGGATAACACAGTATAATTATCATAATCAGGAAATCGCCATTGGCACGGTGCTAGTAACTAACTTACAGACTTTATCCCAGTGTTACTCCTTTGTCCACTCAGGTCCTTTATCTGGCCCAGGATCCAGGCCAGGCTGCCATAATGCATTTCCTTGTCCTCACTCCCTCCTGCCTTCCGATCCGGGATCGTTCCACCGGAAACCTTATTTCCAAGCTCTGATGCCGTGTCTGAGATCCCGTAACCTAACGTGTAAATCCATTTGAGCGTGTTTTTACACGTCTGCTCTTGCACCCTAGATGTAAACATAAAATATGGCACTATCAAGTAAAGAATTAAGTCACGAGTAAATGTTGAAGGTAAAGTCTTTAGACGAACTGGCCAAAAAAAAACAACTCCTGGAAGTCTTGAAAAGTAGATGAAATAGGAAAAGGTAGTCGTGAAGGTGCATACAACAATCCCATCACTTACAGAGGCTGCAGATGAAATGAATATGCAACAGAAATCAGATATTAAGTTGCATCGTTGTGTCTATTTGAAAAGTCCAAAAAATGCCCCAAGAAGCCAAAAATGAATCTATGTTTTAAAAAAAGAAATATCTCGAATGGGATCCAAGTCAGTGAAACCACCGTAATTGTCCATGAAGCTGGGAAAGGCAAAGCCCTAGTGGATGTTGGGGTGACGCCAGGCAGGGACCCCCCCCCAGCTGCAGAGCTGAGGGGGTGGAGACCTCGGGGAGGACTAATACCTGTTTCGCTTTCTAGAAGTGGACTCGGCACTACTGCGCCATCGCCGACGCCAAGCTGTCCTTCAGCGACGACATTGAACAGACTGTGGAGGAGGAGACGCCCCAGGTAGGGGGAGGCCCGGCTGCTCTTGCCTTCGTGAGCCCGCTGGTCCTTGGAGAGGCCCCCTGGTGGCCTCCTTCCTGTGTGGCTTCCCTTATCCTGCATCTGTTGCCATGGGAATCCTCAGCTCTAAGGAGCCACCACTCTGGGTACCAGGGCCTGGCTGGCTCCTCTCTGATTGGCTGGCCGGCCCAGGTGCTTAACCAATAAGGTTTGGGAGCACGTTCCTGCTCTCTGGAGGGCCTGATTGCGCTGAGATGGAGGTCTGGGATACCTGGCGGGAGGATGGGGGTATTGGGCTGCTCTGTCTAGCCCCACGCTCCAGCCTGGTCCCAGGCTTCCCTGCCCTCGCCCCTTCCCCTTTGGCTGCTGGCCACCTCTCCTACTTTTTCTTTGAGACAGAGTCTCACTCTCTTTCCCAGGCTAGAGTGAGTGCCATGGCATCAGCCTAGCTCACAGCAACCTCAAACTCCTGGGCTCAAGCGATCCTCCTGCCTCAGCCTCCCAGGTAGCTGGGACTACAGGCATGAGATACCATGCCCGGCTAATTTTTTCTATTTTTTGTTGTTTGGCTAATTTCTTTCTATTTATAGTAGGGATGAGGTCTTGCTCTTGCTCAGGCTGGTCTCAAATTCCTGAGCTCATGTGATCCTCCTGCCTCGGCCTCCAGAGTGCTAGGATTACAGGTGTGAGCCACCGCGCCCGGCCTCCTGCTGTTTCTTGAGTGCAGTCCCCCTGGCATCCTGGCTTTCAGGATTCCTGTAGGACATAATTAAGGGCTCTCCTGGGGACCTCTTACCCCATGGTGGGTCTGGACCCCAGGAGGCCCCACACATGGGGCTGGCAGGGGAGCAGGGGCCGAGGCCACCCTCTCTGTGCCACCCAGTGCCCAGTCGGGGGGAGGCAGACTGTGATGTGATGCCGGGGTCTGGTCCAGGAGGCTTTCAGAACCCCCTCCTGTCTTTGCGGCCCAGGACATCCCCCCGACAGAGCTGCACTTTGGGGAGAAATGGTTCCACAAGAAGGTGGAGAAGAGGACGAGTGCTGAGAAGCTGCTGCAGGAATACTGCACCGAGACGGGGGGCAAGGACGGCACCTTCCTGGTGCGGGAGAGCGAGACCTTCCCCAACGACTACACCCTGTCCTTCTGGTAACGCCCCCCGCCCGGGCCACGCCCGCCTTCCCCTCGGAGCTGGCCACGTGGGGCGGTGTGGCCAGTGGCTCTCGCTCAGGCCGGGACTGGCGCGAGGCCAGCGAGATGCCCACCCGGGTGCCAAGGCACCAACATTCTCTGTCGTCAGGGTCGTGACATCCCAATGCGTTATTTTAGAAAGCCAAAAGGAATGCAAAAAAAAAAAAAAAATCTGTGATGAACAAAATATCAACACGTTAAACAAAGACAGGATCTGCCCGTGTACTTAGGCGAGGTGGGGTCACTCCCATGCCCCTAATCCCACGCCCGGAGCGGGCAGTGTGACCCTGGACTGTTCGCCCAGCCTCCTAGCATCTCGGTGTCCTCGGCCGTGCAATGAGGATCGCAGGGGTGGCCTTATGAATCCGTCACTGGGGTGTGGTGGGGTGAGCTTGCTCACGCTCTCGTCCCCTCCTGCATCGGGCCTCGCGCACTGAAAGATATTTATTGAGCTGTTGGTGTGTGCCAGGCACGGCCATTTCACAGGGAACAGACAACGTCCCTGTCCTCCTGGGGATAGGAGGCTTTTGAGGGAGAAGGGCGACAGTATAGCAACTCTAGAAATGACGCGTCATCGTGGCTGTGACGAATGCAGGGGGGAACAGGCGAGGCACCGCGGGATCTAGCGTGGGTGGGGGGATTTATGAAAGTCTGGGGGAGGCGTCTGTCGCGGTGGCGTGGGGCGGTCAGGGAAACTTCCTCAAAGTGGATGAGACCTGAAGGGTACACGCTGCCATGCTAATGACACAGATCGCAGCGGCAGCTGCCACCTGGGTGACGCCGCGTGTGCCAGGCGGCAGCCCAGACGCGTGCTGTGTGTGATCTTGGTGACCCTTGAGGACGCCTCCGTGGCAGGGACGCCGTCGTTCTCCTTGGTAGGCTCTGAGGTTCGGGCAGGACGCAGCACCTGCTCAAGGCCGCTTAGCTCATAGGTGGCGGAGCTGGGATTTGAATCCAGGCTTCTGGCTCGAGAGGACTTATGTAGGTTACAGGGGGCAGCGGGTGGGGAAATACTCGGAATGTTCTGGAATCGGGGCTGCAGGGCCAGCCTGTGCTAAAGCGCTGGGTCTGCTCTCAGAAGAGAGGGAAGGCTGTGTGGCCGAGCACCGGGTCCGCCCGCCGGGGCCCGGCTGCAGCGCTGGGCTGGCCTGTGTTGGCCACCCGGGCGCTGGCCTGGCGCTGACGCCATCCCCGTCCCTGTCCCTGTCCCCGCAGGCGCTCGGGCCGGGTCCAGCACTGCCGGATCCGCTCCACCATGGAGGGCGGGGCCCTGAAGTACTACCTGACTGACAACCTCACCTTCTCCAGCATCTACGCCCTGGTCCAGCACTACCGCGAGACGCACCTGCGCTGCGCCGAGTTCGAGCTGCGGCTCACCGACCCCGTGCCCAACCCCAGCCCCCACGAGTCCAAGCCGTACGCTCCTGGGTCTAGTGGGGGCAGGGGGCCATGCGGGGCGACTTCCCCGCTGGAAAAGCCAGCCCGGGGCTCTGCTGGGCCCCGACCCCTCACCCCCTCACCCCGGCCCACCGGGTCTCAACGTCGCCCTGGGTCTCCCCTTTCTAAATCCCTGTCACCTGTTAACTTTGACCTGTTTTCTCTCTTCTTATCTTTCCTCCTCTCTCCCTCCTCCCCTCCCTCTTCCCCTCACTTCTCCCTGCACTCCTCCCCTCCCTCCTCCCCTCCCTCCTTCTCTGCCTCCTCTCCCTCCTTCCTCCTCTCCTTCCTTCATCTTCTCCCTTCTCTCCCTCTTCCCTCCTCCCTCCTTTCCCTCCTTCTCTCCCTCTTGCCTCCTTCTCTGCCTCCTTTCCCTCCTTCCTCCTCTCCTTCCTTCATCTTCTCCCTTCTCTCCCTCTTCCCTCCTCCCTTCTCTCCCTCCTCCCTTGTCTCCCTCCTCCCTCCTCTCCCTCTTCCCTCTTTCTCTCCCTCCTCTCCCTCCTTTCCCTCCTCCTCTCCCTCCTCCCTTCTCCTCCTCTCCCGCCTCCTCTCCGTCCTCTCCATCCTCCCTCCTCCTCTCCCTTCTCTTCCTCTCCCTTCTCCTCCCTCTCCTCCTCCCTCCCTCCTCCTCCCCCTTCTCCTCTCCTCCCTCCTCGTCTCCCTCCTCCTCCCCCTCCTCCTCTCCCTCCTTTCCTCTGCTGTATCTCCCTGGGCCTGAGGTCTTGGGCTTTGATTTTCAGAGGTTAATTCTGGCCCAGTGACAGCCTCCTGCTGTCAAAGCTCCTTCCTGATTGTTCTGAAAACAAGGAAGCAGTAATGTAAAGGTTTCTCCTTCATTTCTTTATCCAGTGAAGTGAGTATCAAGTTATGCCCTGCAAAGGCTCAGCAAATTCTAGACATAAAGAAAAAAAACAAGTTTTGAGCAGAAGGCTGCTAAAATTCGCATTTCTGAGGCAGTCGTATACGTTATAGCAACCTTATTTTTTTTAAATTTTTGTCTATTTTCCTATGGATTGCCTTGTAAAACTTGCTATTTTACATCTCAAGAAATAACCAAAAGACAAGCAAAACCTCCCTAAAACTCCGTGCCGTGCTCCCTGCCGCAGACTTCCACGCGGCGGAGGCAGTGCCGCCCGGGAGGCTGGCCTTTCAGGCCTGGTGGGCGGCACAGCCGCGTCCATTTATTCTCTCGAGCTCCAAGCAGACCCACTCTGTGTCCTGTGTCACTCTCCCCAGTCACCCTTCTGGAAGGTGTTTTTGGCCTGGGAAGCCCACGGCGTGACTGCTGCAGCTATTCCCGGGGCCCCATTCCAGGCGTCACTGGAGCCCATTATTTCGTCCTCTGCGGGTGGCCTTCTGACAGCCTGTCACCTGTCTCACCCGGCCCTCGTCCCTGGCTTGTGCCGCAGGTGGTACTACGACAGGCTGAGCCGGGGAGAAGCCGAGGACATGCTGATGAGGATCCCCCGGGACGGAGCCTTCCTGATCCGCAGGCGGGACGGCAGCGACTCCTTCGCCATCACCTTCAGGTGGGGACGGCCTGGGAGGTGCTGGCCCCGCCACCCCGGGGCAGGCTCGGGAGGGGCAGGTGTGGAGCACCCAGGGGGAACTGCAGGCGGAGGCTCACCTGCCGCTGAGCATCAACGGTGACAATGACGGCAGTAACAGTAGAGGAAGCAGCCTGCACCACACGCATGCTTCTCACATGCCCATGTCCCCAGCCCAGGTTCCCTGTGTGCTCTTGCGGTGGTGCCAGCCCCATGCTGAGTCCTGCGCTGCGTGCAGACGCGGGGCTGCCCCCGGGGGCCACCTCTGAATGAGTCGGTCAGCAAGGATAACTCCCCCACATCCGCCAGCAGGGAAACTGAGTCCAGCACGGCGTTTCTCAGAGCACGCCGGAGTGCGGGCTGTTGCCATGGTGTCAGGACGCCGAGCTCCCCTGGCCTCCACCCACTCCACGCCTATTGGGGGCCCGAAGTCACTGTAACAAGAAAAAAGTCCTCCCTTCCCCCCACCCTGAGTGACCTAACAGGCGACAATCCTAACACTCGCCATGAGACAGGGTTTGCAGATGCCGGTGCTAGGGATGAGGAAACTGAGGCTCGGAGAGGTTCCCAGGGGACGGAGCCAGAACTGACCCAGGCTCTTAACCTCGGCACCCCAGACCCCTCCTGCCCTGTGGAGCTCTTGTAAAAAGTTGTAAAATTAATTTGTAATTACGTAAATATTACAGGAATATATTCTATTTATAAAAAATTAAGACATGACAGTGAACGCCAAAGTCCCTGTTGTCCTTCTCCTGTCGGTAGAGATGTCCTGAGAGAAAGCACAGATTTCTGGTGTGTGTCTCCATCTAGATATTTAAAAAAACTGTGTTTCTAGATTTGCGAACCTATGGAAAATGGATAGTGCCATTTTACGTGTGGGTATTTTGTTCCATTTTTAAAAAACATACAAATGGGATCATTCTGCAACTTATTTCTCTACTCAGCAGTTTCTTTTATTTCCTCTCTTTTTTAAAAGGAATAAATATTTAACAAAATATCTCTGCAAAAATAAACCACCGAAACAGAAGTCTTCCAGCTTTTGTTTTCTCAGGACTTTTGGGAGAAATGGTTTAACAGAAAACATTTTTTAAAACAATAAAAAATGTATCTCTAAAGTGCAGAATTTTGGGATGATGAGTAGTATACCCACAGAAACTATGCCTCTAGATATTTTCCTAATCTATTGAATTGACAAATAAATTTTGTATATACCTATGTACAACATGATGTTTTGAAATATATAAAATGGCCAAATCGAGGTAACGTGTGCATTACCTCATATACTTATTTTTTTTTGTGGTGAGAACACTTAAAATCTCTTTTAGCAATTTTCGAGAATACAAAACACTGTTATTAACCATAGTCACTGTGTTGTACAGTAGATCTCTTGAACTTATTCTTCCTAACTGAAATTTTGTACACTTTGACCAACATCTAACACTCCCGACCCTCCCAGACCCTGGTTACCACCATTCCACTCTCTGCTTCTGTGAGTTAAACTCTTTTTAGATTACACAAATAAGTGAGATGTAGTATAATTGTCTTTCTATGCCTGGCTTATTTCAGTTAGCATAATGTCCTCCAGGCTCATTCATATTGTTGCAAATGATAAGATTTCCTTCTTTTTTTAAGGCAAAATAGTATTCCATTGTGTATATAGAGCACAATTTCTTTATCATTCATCCAGGGATGGACACTTAGGTTGATTGCACATCTTGGCTATTGTGAATAGCGCTGCAGTGAACATGGGAGTGCAGATGTCTCTTTGAAATGCTGATTTCATTTCCTTTGGATGTGCACTCAGTACTGGGATTGCTGGATCTATTTTTGGTGGTTCTATTTTTGATTTTTTGAGGAACCTCCATATATTTTCCATAATAGCTGTACTAATTTACATTCCCACAAACAGTGTACAAGGTTTCCCTTTTTCCCATATCCTCATCAGCACTTATCTTTTTTTTTTTTATAATATTCTACTAGGCGTACATGATATCTCATTGTGGTTTTAATTTTTTATTTCTTTGATGATTGCTGATGTGGAACATTTTTTTATATACCTGTTGGTCATTTATCTATCTTCTGTTGAGAAATGTCTGTTCACATCCTTTGCCCCTTTTTAAATTGGGTTATTTATTTTCTTATTACTGAGTTGTTTGAGTTTCTTATATATTTTGGACATTAACCCCTTATCAAATGTTCAGTTCACAGATATTTTTTTCTATTCTATAGCTTGTCTCTTTGTTGATTATTTCCTAGGCTGTGCAGAAGATTTTTAGTTTAATGCAATCTCATTTGCCTATTTTTGCCTTTGTTGCCTGTGCTTTTGGGGTCATATCTGAAAAATCATCACCCAGACCAATGTCATGGAGCGTATCCCATGTTTTCTTCTAGTAGTTTTATAGTTTCAGGTTTTATGTTGAAGTCTTTAATCCATCTTGAGTTTACTTTTTGTATATGGTGTGAGGTGAAGGTCTAATGTCATTCTTTAGAATTTCTTTTGAAATTCTTTTGAATATCATTTATCTAGTTTTCTCAACAATATTTATTGAAGAGACTTGTTATTTCCCCATGGTGTATTCTCGACACTTAGACTGAACATCAGTTGACCATAAATGCATGGGTTTATTTCTGGGTTCTCTACTCTGTTCCATTGGTCTATGTGTCTGTTTTTATGCCATTGCCATGCTGTTTTGATTAGTATAGCTTTATAGTATAGTTTGCAATGAGGTTGTGTGATGCTTCTAGCTGTGCTTTTTCTGCTCAAGATTGCTTTGGCTATTTGGGGGTAGACATTTATTTTTTTAGAAGACCCTCTTGGCTGTAAAGTTAGGATCAAAATATAATTTTCCAAATGTTTTTCTTGCTGATAAAACCTAATAAGACTGAGGATTCTGTTCTGTTTTGGAGTTTTTCGTCCTCTTGTTTCAAATGGATGAAGAAATGAAAGACTCATTTCTTTTTTGAAAAAAGGAAAAGTCACTGTTTTGCTAATTGAGCCACTGAAGACAAGATTTAAGAATTTGGGGATGGAGTCCAGAATTCTGGAGAGGGGACTGGGAGACGCTTTCCATAAAGGACCACAGAGTCAACATTTTAGGGTTTGCAGGCCATATGGTCTTTGTTGCAACTATGCAACTCTGCTGTTGTAGTGCAAAAACAGCTGCAGACTGTGTATAAACAAATGAACAGTAGCTATGTCTCATAAGACTTTATTTACAAAAGTAGGTGTTGGGCCAAAAGTGGATCTAGGCCTCCAGGATGCTCCCAAAGTCAAGTTCTGTAGTTGGGAAGAAGGGTAAGGGGAGCTAGCTGTTGAGTCAGCAATATTTCTTCTGAGACACAGATTCTTCTAGATCTGTTTTGAGAAGACCTACATTATTTTTAACTCTGCCTTGTATGCCACAGGAGGGCCCACACCCTGTTTGTTTGCCCACTCCCCTAAGCGTGGATAACTAGGTTGTTTCTCATCAGTGGGGCTTGCAGAGCCATTGCCTGGCTGCCAGGACTTCCGCACGTCAACCCTGTGGTTTCCCCCACCAGGGCTCGGGGCAAGGTGAAGCATTGCCGCATCAACCGGGACGGCCGGCACTTCGTGCTGGGCACCTCCGCCTATTTTGAGAGCCTCGTGGAGCTCGTCAATTACTACGAGAAGCACGCCCTCTACCGGAAGATGAGGCTGCGCTACCCCGTAACCCCCGAGCTCCTGGAGCGCTACAACATGGTAGGTGGTTGACTGCCTGGTGACTTGGGGAGATATCTTGTCCGAGGTGATAGTTCATCGCTTTGATCATTCGGCAAACCTTTTTCGAGTACTTATCGTGTGTTTGATACTGCCCTGGGTCCCGGGGATGCAAAATTGGACACAACCGGCGAAGCCCCTGTCCTCGTGCTGCTTGTGGTCTAGGGCTGGGGACAGATGCTAGATGAGATTAAAATGATACCCATAGCATATAGTGACAAGTGCTAAGGAGGTAAACTGGGAAGGTGAACGAGTGGATGCAGAGTGATGGCGGAGGGTTCAGAGGGTGCAGGGGGATCTCGCGGAGAAGGAGGGAAACAGGCAGCTGCCAGGAGGAAGAAGGGCCAGAGACCCTGAGCAGGGAAACTGCCTGCAGGTGCAGAGAGGAAGTCAGCGTGGCCAGAATGGAGCGAGCCAGGTGGGGTGGCACTAAATACAAATGGCGTCACCAGGGGGCTGCACCATGTGGGGCCTGGGAGGCCATCATAATGTACTGGCTTTTTCTCTGAGGAGGAATGAGACACAGATTGAGACACGGCCTTTGCAAGCCGTGAGCTTATTACTCCCGCACGCTGTTGGATCTTAGGACTGCGCTTTTTCAAAGGAACACAGTGCCTGGCGTGCAGCAGGCCAGGATAGGGCCTTCTCTGATTTCGTGGTGGTTTCCAAGTTTGGGGGAACTTCTTCATGGCTTCTTACCATCTCTACCCACGAGCCACAGGAAAATTCTGTGAGGTTGCAACTCTTCTTCCAAAGGATAGCCAACCACAAGGAATTCTGCATCCTTTTTATATGGAAGGGTTCTTCTAAGAGCGGGGCTTGCTCTATTTTTCTGTGTGTTTTTTCTTCCAGGAAAGAGATATAAACTCCCTCTATGACGTCAGCAGAATGTACGTGGACCCGAGTGAAATCAACCCTTCCATGGTAGGTGCCCGCCCTCCCGTTCCTGCCGTCCCCTGGTCACTCGGTTGACGTGCATTCCATTGTCCCCTGCCTTGTCCCATGGCAGTGATAGCCAGGCAAGGGAATATTCTGGAAAACCTGGTTAAAAAAAAAAAAAAAGAGAAGAAATGATAATTGACAACACGAAGTCTAGTTTCAGGGAAAAGGTTAATGGAATTCCATCCGCATGCGGCTGTGCCTTGCTAAAATTCTGAGGTTTGATGAACCACCTTTGGGCCAAATGGCTTCTAATTAAAAGTCTTTCAAATGTTTTTAGCTCGCTGGCTGAGCCCGCGGTGTTTATAAATTCCATTTGGTTCGCTGACCTCCTTGCCATGCTCACGCTATCTCCTCTTCCCACCCCGACGCTGTTGTGTAATTTCACGCAGGTAGGGATGGATTTTACTCTTAGCCCCCGGCTCCTCCTTGCTCCGGTTTCATCTCCAATTTAGTTTGAGCTGGTGCGTTTTCTGTTTGGGGGACCATCTGGCGCACAATGAACGTGCAACCCTCCCTTAGCAAGGGCCCCTGCTCGTGGGCCCTGTTGAAATCCATTCCTTTTTCTTTTTTTTTTTTTAAATTTATAATCCTTGGCCAATGCAGATCTCTTTCAAAGTGAAGTCTTGAAAAATTGTGGGCAAATGGAGCCGTGTGCAAAGTGTGCGAAGGGGTCTCAGCTAGCAGCAAAGACTTTTGTTAGAAGTGAAGGACGTTCTGAACGGTCACCCCCTTTCCCCGTGGGTAGGTTTTGCAGATTTAGCTGGGGCCTCTTAAGTAGCTTTAGCAGACTGGATGTTTTTCTCCTTGCTGGGATGGTATACTTGCAGTTTATTTTGATGGGCTTGGGTTTTTCTCCTTTTGCCCTTTGAAACATAATTTCAGAAGACACAGGCTCAAACGTCCCTGAAGGTTAGGCAGATCACGTGAGTGAGCAGAGCTGTCCCGGGCATGAGAAACGTTCAACTGTATGTGACAGAGGAGTGCAGGTTTGGTGACACATGGCAGCTGGCACTTGGCTCCCCGGCAGCCAGATGGCAGGGGTGACGGAGACTTCGGAAAGCTGGGGAACAGAGACCCCATCTCCGGGGCAGCCACTCCTCATAGCCCCTGATCGTCACCTCTCCCAGAGGACAGGCCAGGTCTTCCGATTTCTCAAGCCGGGCCAGACATCTGGACGTTTTGTGTGAAATCTCCCAAGTTTTAAATTGTGGCAGCTGAAGCAAGGTGTTTAGAGAAAACCTTCCTGCACTGAGCGAGTTGAGTAAAACACAATCGTACGCACGCCAAGTTTGACCTCAAGCCACCAGTGTGTGATGAGCGCGTCAGAGTGGGGTTATTACTGTTATGACTGACAAATGACGTAGCAGTTAAACACAGTGAAAGAAAGAGAGAGAATCAACTTTCATCTTACCACCTGCGAGCAGCAGCTCATTGCATTTTTGGGTGTTCGTCCCTTCTGGTTTCTGCCCACCTGGACATATTTTCCAGTCACTGCCACCTGCCCCCGCCTTTTGTATTGCACTTTATGCACTTGCTGCTGGGTCACACGTTGGTTTCTCCATCACTGATCTTCTCAGTGACCGTTGTCGTCGGTCAAACCTGATAGGCTGAGTGATTTAGAGGAAATACGTAGATTAAGAATTTTAACTTAGAAAAGTGTTGGGCAGTTCTGCCAGCTTAGCCACGTCCCCATCAGTGGCCATGTGGGGCGTTTCCTAGCCTTTGCTTCTCAAGTTAACACGACAGCGACCTTCTCCATGCTCGAGACTCGAAGTCTCATATTCGCATATTTGCTTCCGGTAAGTCCTTGGAGCTGGGATGACCAGACGGACAGTCGTGGGTAATGCGCGCCCCAGGTGCTGTTCCAAGCTCTTGGCAGCGGTTCGCTCATTAGTCCTCAGAGCAGCCCCGTGAGGTAGGTGCTGCTTTTGTGCCCATTTTACAGACGAGGAAACTGAGGCAGGTAGAGGCTGAATAATTGCCGAGGTCACGCAGCTAGGAAGGTGTGGAGCTGGAAGTGGACCCAGGCAGTCTGGCTGTGGGGCGTGTGCTGTGAACCACTCGGCTCTGCCACTCGCCCGCTTGGTCATCTGGTGGATGGCTTGTTTCTCCCTAGTTCATGAGGGGCCTTACGTGAGGACTTCTCCTGCCATCTGCAGGATCTGCCATCTTCCTCCTAGTGGAAGTCATCGTATGGTACCCACCCCGCCACTGGTGTTCCCTGCTGTGGCCTTGGAGCGTGGCTCCTGTCTTTCCGTCCTCCCTGGAAGCAGGATACGCAGGCAGAGCCTTCTCCGTTTGAGGGGTTGGGGAGAGAAGGGCGGTGGCTCTGTTGGCCTCCAGTTGGAGATCCCCAATCCCCAGGGCAGAGCTTCTAGAACCCGCGTTGCCTCCAGTGGAACATCAGGAACTAGGGCAGCAACTCACACGAATCGATCCGGTTCTGGACTTAGCCGCTTACCAGCTGGCTGATCCTGGGCAAGGTGTGGCTACGTCATTTCTCTCACTGCCTCAGTTTCCTCATCTGTAAAATGGGCGCAGTCCTATGACTACCTACCTGTTAGGGTTGCTGTAAGGATTAACGGAGTTACTCGAAGGCTCAGAACGAGGCTTCCACTACCGCGAGCCCTTAAGAAATGCGGGCTGTCGTCAGCTTTATCGTCACGTGCACTGTCTCATTTAGTCGTCTCAATAAAGCCCTGTGAAACACATACAGACGTCGAATTCCCATTGCACAGATGGGCATGTGCGGATCGGAGAGCGTCGAACTTACAAAACCACTAAGGGGGCAGAGCAGTGACTCGAACCTACCTGTCCGACTCCACAGTGCGTGTGCTGAGAGTCAGTTCCAGAAGGATCCCTTGTACAAATCCTGCTCCCGTTTCCCATCAGTGGGAGGAGGAGGGAAGCCGCTGATATAAACAGGCTTGACAATTTCAGAGGTTTTTCCCATTCATATTTGCTTGCCGGGTGGGTGGTTGTTTTGCCACTGTTTTGCGCTTGCGAGCAGAAGGCATTAAAGCAAATTCATTGAAGAGCAATTTTGTCCCAAGTAAGTTTTATCTTACTTGTCTCTGCCAACAGAGACCTCCTTTCACAGAGACCTGCATTTCACAGAGAAGCGCCCCGTTTCTTGTGTGACAATGGTGGTGAGGGCCCCTGGCTTGCGTGACAATGGTGGTGAGGGCCCCTGGCTTGCGTGACAATGGTGGTGAGGGCCCCTGGCTTGCGTGACAATGGTGGTGAGGGCCCCTGAACGGCCAGGAAATGGTGTTGCCCTTGAACTTCTTGGATGGTTGTTGAGCACAGGCGCTGTGGTGGTGGTCGTGGCTTCATCTAAAAGGCACAGACTTTCTTCACTGAGGAAATTGAGCAACATTAGGTCCCTGCTATGTGACTTTCAGGGGCTTCGGTTCCTTTGCAATGCCCGTCCCTTGCCAGCAGATGGTGGTCTAACCATGGACTGAAGCCCGCGGCTCCCTGGTGGGAAGAACCAAATGGTGCCGGGGCGTGCACATGCCTCCTCCTCCTGTCGCCTGGCCTGACCTTTTCCCTCTTGTTTTTTCCCCCCCAAAAGCCTCAGAGGACCGTGAAAGCTCTGTATGACTACAAAGCCAAGCAGAGCGACGAGCTGAGCTTCTGCCGTGGCGCCCTCATCCACAATGTCTCCAAGGAGCCCGGGGGCTGGTAAGGCTGAGCGGGGGCTGGGCTGTGTGTGGCAGGGGAACTTGGCTTGTCCCCTCTTGGTGACGAGACTCAGGTGCTGGCTGAGCTCTGACTCCCTTTGTCTGCTGCTCTGGGCTGGCTCTGAGCTATTGTGCTAAGTCCTTGGGGAAGGTGGCTTGGTGCACGCACCACTTGGGAAAGTGGATAAAGTACTATGTTAACAGTTCCCATTATGTCATGTATCTTTTATATTATCACATATTGTATGCTATTATAATTACAACAGCAGCTACCATTTATGGAGGTTGTACTCTGTGCTGAGCACTCTGCTAATTGTCTCCATGCATTGTCTAACCAAATCTCCACTGTAGCCCTGTGGTTGTGAATATGATTATCTTTGCTTTACAGATGGGGTAAATGAGGCTTTCCAAGGTCACATAGCTACTAAATAGCACAGGCTCTGCCCATTCCACAAGCTTGTGTGTTGTTTTCAATTCAAATTCTTATGCTATTGCTTAGTCCGGTGCTCTGTGCAATGGCCCCATCCTGAATTGAAAAGAATGCATTTTTAGGCAGTTTCTTGAGTGTGCTGGGGTTTAGATACCTCTTCCCTTTTTCACCTTGGAAGAAAAATTCACTGCTCATTGATAGGTTGTTAGGCAAGGGGTTTTGTGGGGTGACTTCTGAGAGCAATAAGAACTTGCTCATAACCATGCACCCTGGCAGAGATTCAAGCACCTCACAAGATTGGCATTTCTTCTTCCCACAACATAGCTGGACCTGACTTAAAAAAAATCTGAATAGTAGTGTGTAGGGTGTATGGAATGCTTATATGTGTCGAGCACCATTTTAAGCACTTCATTGGAAATAACTCATTTGATCTACACGGTGACCACATAAATCTGGTTCTGTCGTTGCCTGCATTTTACAGATGAGGAAACTGAAGCACAGAGACATGCAGTGACTTATCCAGGGTCACACAGCAGGCTGAGATTTGAACCCTTCTGAGTCCAGAGCCCACATTCTTAACCTCATTTATCTTCGAGGTCCCTCCCTGCTCTCCTGCTCTAATTCAGGGATTTCCAAACTTTTTCTTTAGAAATGAGAACCTCATTTGAAACCAATTCTTACTGGATCCCTAGAATCAAAAATCGGCAACAGCATATAAGATCTGAGAGGTAGAATGTAGTGAAAGGGGAAGAAAGAGAAATGGGCGACAGCAGAGTTATCTGTTGAAGCTGCAGTGGGGCTTGGAGCTGCCCAGTTTGGTCCCCCTGCTGTCCCCACTGCAGCCCTGGGTCTCCTCCTCGGAGGCGCCCAGGCCCAGTTTGCCGACTGGTGTCCTCCATCTGCCCCTCCCCGATTCAGCGGTTTGGCTTTGCCGAGGTCCTTCCCTTCTAAGTGGCACAGCCCGGGTTCAGGTGTGTCCCGGGCCCGTGGCACTTCCTCATTGTGCTCCTGCACGCTGCTCTGTCACCGTCCTCGTCCTCCCAGGGTGGCTGGAGCCTAGACAGTTACTGCAATTCACAGTTTTGCGTTATGTGGGAGACAGCCTCCTGCCTCTGGTGCGGAGTGACCCAGATGTCGGCTCTTGTCTTGAGATGGAGTAAGAAGCTGGCGGAAGTCCCTCTGGCGCGGGACTGTGGGAAAACTGCCCATTCCTTGTTCTCTTTCTGGTGACAGTACCGCCGCCCAGGGGGCTGCCTGCGGCCCGACCACCTTTCTTTGCATCCTCCCAAACTGGTTCCCCTGAAGCTGGGGGGAATGAATAGTTTTTGTCCAAACCAAGATGTTTTTGAGAGTGAAGGGAATGCTATCATTAATAATTACACCCGGGCGACAGGTGTAAAGTGCGCAGTCCTGTGCAGATGGGACGTAGGGTCGCCCTATGTACGGCCAGCCTTGCCCGAGGTGGCTGTGGAGCAGTCAGCAGCCCTGTGTTTCCGGCAGGTGGACGGAACAGTCAGTCCTGCTCGTTCAGGCCACAATGTTTAGGCGCTTCCCACCAGCGTGGAGTATAGATTTGATTAAGATCCAAAAAGGCCTGGTACAGGGGGGAAGACAGGCGTGTGATTATAAATTAAACATGAGGTGTGGACGCTCAGATGGCTGTGGGGACAGGATGCCGGGGTGGGGGAGCACAGAGAAGGGTGCTCAGCCTAGGTGGCAGTCAGGGAAGACACCTGGGAGAGGAAGTGCCCGAGCTGAGTCCTACCTGGTTAGGAGGAGGAAGGTGGGTATGAACGGCAGGGACCAAGTCATGGAAGCCGGGCAGCTCGGCAGGTGCGTGGTGGGGACGGCGGATTGTCTGGAGTGAATGTCAAGTTTGGGTCACGGAGAGTCCTGGGGTCGGCCGTACCGGGCTCTGCTTGCCGGGCTAACGGGTCGGGGCTGGATTGTAAAGGCCTCGGGGAGCCGTCCTACGGCGTGGTTGCAGGTGCATTTGGAGGGGCCCTGGCTGCAGAAAGTGGCCCACAAGATGTCCAGGCTGGAAGGAGGCGGCCTGCATGCCGGGATGGACTTGGCCGGGGTGGCAGAGGGGGACAGAAGCTTGGAGGTGCTCGCAGTGTGGGGGGCAAGGCACATTCATGGATCAGTTATGTCCCTTGTTATTGGTGCTGCCATAAACTGAGGGAGCGGTATTTTAGCTGAATAACAACATGGAACTAGTGCTGTGGAGTCCTTACTGCGTGCTGGGTAGGCACTGATCCACGCTCTTGGTGTAGGCCAGTTTCGGTGGTTCCAATAGACTCGCTGGAGCGGAGCGCTGGTGTTGTCCCCATCTTCCGGATGGAGAGTAGGGGGGCATTGGATGCCCACATAGCTGCTGGTGGAGCTGGAATTTGATTCCAGGCTGTCTGGCTCTAGAACCTTCTTCATACCAACTTCATCTCTTAATTCACAGCCTGAAATGGGGTTGAGCGTTTGTCTTATATATGGCCTCTTTCTTCGACTCCAAGCACTGAAACTTTTGACTCTTGGCATCTTTGACCCAGCATTAGGATCATGTTAAGAGGAAGAAAGTGAGCCCCAATGACTCATTGGTGACTAGAAAGGAAAAAAACGGAAGCTCCCTTTGAGATGCTTCATTGTCACGGACAATGATCCCTCCCCTGGTCACTTGGCCCCTTGCTGCCTCTCCCCCGTGGGCATCGGGCCAGCGGCTGGGGCTCTCCTGAGCCCTGTGGGTTGTTAGTGCCGCCAGGGAGCGGCCTCGATGCGTTCTGTTTTCCTGCAGGTGGAAAGGAGATTACGGGACCAGGATCCAGCAGTACTTCCCGTCCAATTACGTCGAGGACATTTCCACCGCTGACGTGGAGGAGCTGGAAAAGCAGGTGCGTGTCCGTCACTCACCGTAAGGAGGGATCTGCCCACCCCGTTTCTCAGGGAGCCCCCTGAGCCGCCTCCGTGGGCGAATTTTTTTACCTGTGCTGCTCGTGGTCTCCGTGGAGCTCCAGGACAGGGAAGACAGAGTGATATGGAGATGGCGACGGTCCCCGAGCTGCTGTGGGTGAAAGTCACTGTGACGAGCCAGTCGTGTTTTAATCAGGTTGTGCTGGGCTAGAAGGCTTTGAATACGCAGGAGAATTCCCACTGGAGTGGAAGTGGCCAAATGGGGAAGTTGTCCTCTGCTTAAAGCAGCTTGCAAATGAAACACATTTATTTTGGACAGCCAGACGCTCCGCACGTGCTCGGGGTGAGCAAGCAAGCGGCCTGACTGGGAGGTGAGATGAGGCCTCCGTGGTGACTTTGCAAAACTGGTTTTTGTTCCCCAGCTGCCTCTTGCCCGTAAGGCTCAGGGAGCAGCCACTTTCCGAGTGACAGCACCACACCTAGGATGACATCTTTGTAATGAGCCCATTAAGGTCCCATGAGAGCCCAAGGCATTTACTTTCTAAGGGTAATCTGGGAAGGCTTCCTGGAGGAAGGGGGCACTTGAGCCTTAAAAGTCGAGTTAAACTTCAACAACCGAGATACTGGCAGAATGGAATTGCAGGTGGGAGGTACAGTCAGCAAAGGGGTGGTGGGAATGTGGCTGTGTTCCGTGTGCTCAGGCTGAGGCAGGGACGTGACTCCCTCGTGGTGTGTGTGGCATTGCTCTTGCCTGCACGGTCAGCGTGAGCCTGGCAGGGAAGACGTGGGGATGGTACAGGCAGTCGGTGGACACGTGGTCTGCCAGCTCTCCTGACACTAAGATAGTCTCCATCTCAGCCGGACCCTGGCATGGCTCAAATGTGTCAGGGGACATGGAGCTGGGAAGGCTCACTGGGGCTCGGAAGGCCTTAAAAGCCAGATCACAGAGCCATGGATGGCTGCTTTCATGGGTCACAGGGAGCCACAGAAGGTTCTTGATCTGGGCTTTAGTGCGCCAGATAGTCCCATTTCATCATAATGTCAGATAAAGGGTCTAGGATGTGTCGCGAAACCAGACCCGAGGAAGCCTCTTGACACCTGTTCTAGGATTCACAAGGCACGTTTTTGTGGGTAGCAAAATGAGACGCTGAACCTCCTGGCACCTGCTCCCCGCCCGCTCCCTGTCAGCCCCATGCTTCATTATTTAGCGCTGTCCCCGTGGACCCTGCCTGTGATGAAATCGCATTTTAAACAGTTCCACAGGCAGCGTCGCCGCTAAACGGCGCGCTTTGGAAACTGCGCGTGTTTTTATTATGCCCGTTACAACTGACGTGAGTTATGTCTTGTTTCTCCGCAGATTATTGAAGACAATCCCTTAGGGTCTCTTTGCAGAGGAATACTGGACCTCAATACCTATAACGTCGGTACGTGCACGCGCCATCTCAGCCTGATTCCCTCCCGCTGCCCCCCCCCCCCCCCCCGCGTGACCTAGACCCGCCCCGAGCAGGGAGGTGGCTGACCCAGGTCCCGTCTAGCCTTGGCTTTGATGCTGGCCCCAACCGGTCAGTGAGTAGGACGCTAGGTCTGCGTTAGTATCTGCCAAACTGCAAGTGCCCACGCAGAGTCTGGTGCACGATACGTGCTTGGATGACGGTTACCTGTCACCGTTACCAGCATTGCTGTGACAATTTCCGGGACCTGCCTGTGTCTCCCGTGTGTTTTGAGGAAGGGCTGGAGCAGTTGGCTGAGCTGATGTGGGATGTGGAGTTGGGAGTGTCCCGGTCCTGAGCCCAGCTTTGCTGCTCAGTGGCTCTGCAGCCATGGGCCTGTCTCTTCCCCTCTCTGAACCTCAGACTCCTGGCTGCTCCGCTGGGGGGTCAGTCGCATTCTGGAGTCTGCTGCAAGGGAGGAGGTGAAGGCCCGGCCCTGAGCACAGGCTGATGCAGTGGTGGCAGGGCTGGGAGCTGCAGAAGGCTGGAGCGGCCTGCTCCCGTGAGTGGCCCCTGTTTCTGCAGGCCTGACACCCCAGCCTGGGCTCGCCATTCCCAGACTCTCCCTGGGGAGGCCTGTGCATCGTCCCCTAGGCCTCAGATGACAGCAGTCCCAGGAGCTTCTGCTTTCTGCATTATAATGCTCCCCCCCCACCCTTTACAACTATCTAGTATGATAGGTAGGAGAGGGATTCTTCACTCCAGTTAACAGATGAGAAAACCAAGCTCTCAAAGGGACCACGGCACCCGCTGAGGTCCCATGGTGAGTTAACAGATGGGCCAGGCCTGGGGGGATGCAGGACTCCTTCACGTCTGAGGTTTTTGTAGCATCTCCGTGGACATGTTCGCGGAGCAGAGGCACACGGCTCGGCGGTTGTGAGCAGGGAGCTCGGCGGCGTCAGGACCGAGCGTCACTGTTGCCATTACTGTGTGACCTTCCACCTGTTACATTCCCCCAACGAACCTGCTGTCCCTCTTGCAAAATGGGCATAATGGGAACCGTACCCCCATGAGGTTGTGATAAGGGTTAAGTAGACACCATGCACGCCATCTATTTATAGATCTTGTCTGGCATCTAAGAGCTTAGAAATCTGAGCTACTGACATTACTTGGCAGATAATTTCCCCCCTAATAACCTCAATTTTCTTCTCTATGAAATACATTTTCTGTGTATAGAGAATCTATTCCACGACTCCCTGGTGACATCAGGCAGTGCTTGGTGTGCTCTGGCTCGTGGCCTTGTCATTCCAGTCTCTCCCTCCACTTTCACGTGCCTGTGTCCCCCGTGGTTGTCTCGGATCTCTCTCCCCTTCCTCTTGCAAGGATACCCATCGGTGGGTTTAGGGTTTATCCTAAAACCAGGACGATCTCATCTTAGATCAACCCTTTGCACTCGCTTTCTTATCGATTCCTTTATTCTACTCGGGATTTAATTTTTTAAATACCCCCGATTTTATAAAGCGCGGCAGTAGAATAAAAAACTGGAGTTTCTTTTCATGCAAACTTATTTATTTTGATTTTTTTATATTTCAAATTATTGACACATTCAAAGAGTAATTTTAATCTCTATAATGTTTCATGGTGTGAGCTGCTACCGACGCTAACCGTGTCGAGTCACACTCGACATCCGAGTGCAAAGGGTTAAGATGCTTAACCTAAGTACGTACCCCAGGACCCTGGTTCTAAATGAGTCCAGGTTCAGAGGTTCTGGGCAGTTGACACATCTTTCTGGAGGTCACTGCTCAGCCCACCGCACAGCTCGGGCAGTCACGTGCGGAGGGTCCAGATGCCGCCTGGCGTGTCCCCGTGAGCGCTGAGCACGATCGCGGCCGCGGCGGCTTGGTCTGGTGCCTGAGAGGAGCAGCTCGGAGTCCGCGCTTCCTGGCCTTCTCACTGGACCATCGGGGCTTCCTCTTCTTCCCTCCCGAAGTGAAAGCTCCGCATGGGAAAAACCAGAAGCCCTTCGTCTTCATCCTGGAGCCCAAGAAGCAGGGCGACCCTCCGGTGGAGTTTGCCACAGACCGGGTGGAGGAGCTCTTCGAGTGGTTTCAGAGCATCCGGGAGATCACCTGGAAGATCGACACCAAGGTAGGCACCCTGTGCGCCTGGGCGGGGGCCCGGCAGTCTCCGGCGCCCTGCAAAGTCACAGGGGGGTCCAGGCAGCAGCAGCAGCAGGCCCCCGGGGCTGCACAGAACTCAAGGAGACATGGTGGATTCAGATGATAGGAAAACCTCTCATTAGGGAGAAAGCAAGGGAGCAGGGCGGTCTGGCTTGAGCCTTCAGAAGGCTCAGAGTGTGCTGCGGCCTTGTCCTCCCTGGGCCTCATATCTTGCTGGACTCACTCTTCCAAGTCCCCTGGAGGAAGTTGTCCTTTTTAGGAGACTTTGCAGAGTCCCCGGGCTGTGAACGTGGGGTCAGAGGCAGGAGGTGTTTTAGTATTTCAGTGACATCTTCTCCAGGACCAGGTGGCTGAGGTGGGGTGTGTGACACAGAGCTGTGATTCAGGGTGGAGCACTGGCTTTGGGTCAGACCATCACTTAGGCTTCTGGTCTTGACGCTGCTGTGGGGCCTGAGGGAAGCTACCCAGCCTGTGTTATCTGCCTCTCGGGACGTGTGCACTGAGATGGCATCCATGGAGCACCCAGCATGCATTGCAAAGCTAACACCCCTGCTCAGTGACTGTTGTTACTCGGTATCCTCTCAAGGCTCCCTGCTGGCTGATGGGAGGCCCGAGAGGGCTGCCTGGTTTGGGGAGAAATGAGCAGCTCCCTCCTTGCTAGATGGGCTTAGATTTGACGGTGGGTCCTCTGAAGGGAACGGGCACATGACCTGGGCCCTGGGGACAGATCTGTGATGGGCATTCAGAGGCAGGCAGGGGGCTTTCAAGTTCCAGGGCAAAGGGGCTAGAGTGAGGACAAGGATGCTGTGGTCACAGCCCGAGAGCCTTTGGAGAACTAGAATTCAATGAACCGTGACAGTGTGGCTTTAGGGGGAGGTTACGGGGAGAGGGCAAGTGACAGAATAGCCCCTCCCCATGCCATCCTGAGCCCCGTCTATTTGTGAGATCTACAGCTGGCCAGGACTGAGCCAGACCCCAAACCCGGCTGGAAACATTAAAAGGGAGGAAGGATGGGGGGGGCGATTCTTCAGGAAAGGAAAACACTCAACCTACTAAAGCTCTGAGGGCGCATCGGGCAAAGTGGGTTGGAAGAGGAAACTGCCAGGTTAGCATGGGATTCTGGAGGGCTGGAACTAAAGCTGGGTGACCCCAAAACAGAGAACAACATGAAGTACTGGGAGAAGAACCAATCGATCGCCATCGAGCTCTCGGACCTGGTGGTCTACTGCAAACCAACCAGCAAACTAAGGATAACTTAGTAACACCTTCCCCATGACTCTGCCCCCAACTGCAGGGGAATTTCCTTCTGAGCCTGACATTGTCAGGGATGGTGTTTCCTGCTCACCCGTAGCTGCTCAAGGCAGATGCCTCACCTTTGTTTGTCCTCGGGGTGAGGATACTGGTGGAAGAGACCCAAACTCACTTAAAGGGGGTGAGTGTTTATACTGCTGCTGTAACAAATGACCACAAACTTAGTGGCTGCAGACCAGAAGTCTAGAATCAGCATCCCTGGGCTAAAATCAAGGTGTTGGCAGGGCTGCACTCCCTCCAGGGGAATCATGTGCTTTGTTCTTCCGCCTGGTGTGCCGCATTCCTTGGCTTGTGGCCACATCACACTCATCTCTGCCTTTGAGGTCACAGGCCCCCTTCTCTTTACCTCCTGTTATTTAATACAAGGACCTTGTGATGTGTTCAGCCCACCTGGGTAATCCAGGATCATCTCCCCATTTCAAGCTACTTAATAACATCCATGAAATCCCTTTTGCCATGCAAGGTAACATTGCACCAGGTTCCAGGGATTGAGACCTAGATATTTTGGAGGCCATTATTCGGCCTACCATGGGCCCATTAAGAAATAGATCTTCCACCCAACACTCCAAAGTAGCAAGTTCTTTGATGATGCCATTTATATTTTACTTCTCCTTTCTTTGGGTCTGTGGAGCAACTCTTTATCTTTCATCTCAAGAATCTGTGATTCCAGTACAGAAGCCCAGAGAACAATACTAAACCCCAGCGTTCACTCTTACTGGGAGGCAGGTCAGGGACAGATGCCAAAGCTCAGGACCTGACTCAGCATGCTCACAGCATGGCTGTCCCCATACCTCCCACTCTTACTTTTCCTTCCCGACGCGGGCACCTCCTCCTCCCCTCCCTTCCTGAGGCAGTGGCAGTTGATTCTCACTTCCACAAGATGCTTAGTTCATTCATTCATAGCATCCTTGATGAAAAGTCTGATCTGGTTTTCGCGCTGGATCTTCTACCTAAAACCATGCCCACCCTTCCCCTTCCATAACCCCATTCTATACCACTGTTGTGTTTTCTTGTTCAAGACTTTTGGTAGTTTAAACAAAGAGTAAATTACAATGATTCTAGGCTAAAGGGCTGTAGGGAAGCTCGGCTCCTTTGAACGTGTGAGGTCCCCCCCCACCCTAATACCTGTGACCCCGGACAGCAAGATCCACAGTGGTACCAGTTATGGCCTTATCATCACTACCTTGCATGCCCTGCCAGAAGAGACATTCCTGGTTTCCTCTCACAACCTGAGCATCCAGCCGCGCAGTAAGCATTAAGGAACGGTGACCTTTTTCTGTGTGTGCAGAAAATCCTGACTTCCGAGAAATCCGTTCCTTTGATACAACCGACAGCATCGTCAGGCCAGAAGCCCCTGGATCTCTTGAAGTAAATCAAAAAGGCCTGACCCGCGTCTACCCCAAGGGACAAAGAGTTGACTCTTCCAACTACGATCCCTTCCGGCTCTGGCTGTGTGGTCCCAGATGGTGGCGCTCAAGCGTGTCCCCGTGAGCGCTGAGCACGATCGCGCCACGCAGCTTGGTCTGGTGCCTGAGAGGAGCAGCTCGGAGTCCGCGCTTCCTGGCCTTCTCACGGACCATTGGGGCTTCCTCTTCTTCCCTCCCGAAGTGAAAGCTCCGCACGGGAAAAACCAGAAGCCCTTCGTCTTCATCCTGGAGCCCAAGAAGCAGGGCGACCCTCCGGTGGAGTTTGCCACAGACCGGGTGGAGGAGCTCTTCGAGTGGTTTCAGAGCATCCGGGAGATCACCTGGAAGATCGACACCAAGGTAGGCACCCTGCGCGCCTGGGCGGGGGCCCGGGCAGTCTCTGGCGCAAAGTCTCCCCCTGCAAAGTCACAGGGGGGTCCAGGCAGGAGCAGCAGCAGGCCCCCGGGGCTGCACAGAACTCAAGGAGACACGGTGGATTCAGACGATAGGAAAACCTCTCATTAGGGAGAAAGCAAGGGAGCAGGGCGGTCTGGCTTGAGCCTTCAGAAGGCTCAGAGTGTGCGGCCTTGTCCTCCCTGGGGCCTCATATCTTGCTGGACTCACTCTTCCAAGTCCCCTGGAGGGAAGTTGTCCTTTTTAGGAGACTTTGCAGAGTCCCCGGGCTGTGAACCGTGGGGTCAGAGGCAGGAGGTGTTTTAGTATTTCAGTGACATCTTCTCCAGGACCAGGTGGCTGAGGGTGGGTGTGGTGACACAGAGCTATGACGAGGGGTGGGAGCAGGGGCTTTGGGTCAGGCCAGTCACTTAGGCTTCTGGTCTTGATGCTGGCTCTGTGGCCTGAGGGAAGCTACCTAGCCTCTCTATGTTAATTCTGCCTCTCGGGACGTGTGCACCGAGATGGCATCCATCGAGCACCCAGCGTGTATTGCAAAGCTAAGCACCCCCTGCTCAGTGACTGTTGTTATTTCAGTATCCTCTCAAGGCTCCCCGCTGGCTGATAGGCAGGATTTGGGGAGAAATGAGCAGCTCCCTCCTTGCTTAGATTTGACGGTGGGTCCTCTGAAGGGAACGGGCACATGACCTGGGCCCTGGGGACAGATCTGTGATGGGCATTCAGAGGCAGGCAGGGGGCTTTCAAGTTCCAGGGGCAAAGGGGCTAGAGTGAGGACAAGGATGCTGTGGTCACAGCCCGAGAGCCTTTGGAGAACTAGAATTCAATGAACCGTGACAGTGTGGCTTTAGGGGGAGGGTTACGGGGAGAGGGCAAGTGACAGAGAATAGCCCCTCCCCATGCCATCCTGAGCCCCGTCTATTTGTGAGATCTGCAGCCGGCCAGGACTGAGCCAGACACCAAACCCGGCTGGAAACATTAAAAGGGAGGAAGGATGGGGGGGGCGATTCTTCAGGAAAGGAAAACACTCAACCCTACTAAAGCTCTGAGGGCGCATCGGGGCAAAGTGGGGTTGGAGGAGGAAACTGCCAGGTGAGCATGGGATTTCTGGAGGGCTGGAACTAAAGCTGGGTGACCCCAAACAGGAGAACAACATGAAGTACTGGGAGAAGAACCAATCGATCGCCATCGAGCTCTCGGACCTGGTGGTCTACTGCAAACCAACCAGCAAAACCAAGGATAACTTAGGTAACACCTTCCCCATGACTCTGCCCCCCCACTGCAGTGGAAATTTCCTTCTGAGCCTGACATTGTCAGGGATGGTGTTTTCCTGCTCACCCGTAGTTGCTCAAGGCAGATGCCTCACCTTGTGTTTGTCCTCGGGGTGAGGATACTGGTGGAAGAGACCCAAACCCAGTTAAAGGGTGGGTGAGTTTTATACTGCTGCTGTAACAAATGACCACAAACTTAGTGGCTGCAGACCAGAAGTCTAGAATCAGCATCCCTGGGCTAAAATCAAGGTGTTGGCAGGGCTGCACTCCCTCCAGGGGGAATCATGTGCTTTGCTTCTTCCGGTCCCTAGTGGCTGCCTGCATTCCTTGGCTTGTGGCCACATCACACTCATCTCTGCCTTTGAGGTCACAGGGCCCCTTTCTCTTCTACCTCCCTGTTGTTTAATAGAAGGACCTTGTGATTGTGTTCAGCACACCTGGATAATCCAGGGTCATCTCCCCATTTCAAGCTACTTAATAACATCCATGAAATCCCTTTTGCCGTGCAAGGTAACATTGTCACAGGTTCCAGGGATTGAGACCTAGATATTTTGGAGGCCATTATTCGGCCTACCATGGGGCCCATTAAGAAATAGATCTTCCACCCAACACTCCAAAGTAGCAAGTTCTTTGATGATGCCATTTATATTTTATTTCTCCTTTCTTTGGGTCTGTGGAGCAACTCTTTATCTTTCATCTCAAGAATCTGTGATTCCAGTACAGAAGCCCAGAGAACAATACTAAACCCCAGCGTTCACTCTTACTGGGAGGCAGGTCAGGGACAGATGCCAAAGCTCAGGACCGGACTCAGCATGCTCCCAGCATGGCTGTCCCCCTACCTCCCACTCTTACTTTTCCTTCCCGACGCGGGCACCTCCTCCTGTCCCCTCCCTTCCTGAGGCAGTGGCAGTTGATTCTCACTTCCACAAGATGCTTAGTTCATTCATTCATTCATTCATAGCATCCTTGATGAAAAAGTCTGATCTGGTTTTTTCGCCTGGCTCTTCTACCTAAAACCATGCCCACCTTTCCCCTTCCATAACCCCATTCTATACCACTGTTGTGTTTTCTTGTTCAAGACTTTTGGTAGTTTTAAACAAGAAGTAAATTACAATGATTCTAGGCTAAAGGGCTGTAGGGAAGCTTGGCTCCCTTTGAACGTGTGAGGTCCCCCCCCACCTTTTAATACCTGTGACCCCGGGACAGCAAGAGTCCACAGTGGTACCAGTTATGGCCTTATCATCACTACCCCTCGCATGCCTTGCCAGAGAGAGACATTCCTGGTTTCCTCTCACAACCTGAGCATCCAGCCGTCGCACTAAGCATTAAGGAACGGTGACCTTTTTCTCTGTGTGTGCAGAAAATCCTGACTTCCGAGAAATCCGTTCCTTTGTGGAGACGAAGGCCGACAGCATCGTCAGGCAGAAGCCCCTGGATCTCTTGAAGTACAATCAAAAGGGCCTGACCCGCGTCTACCCCAAGGGACAAAGAGTTGACTCTTCCAACTACGATCCCTTCCGGCTCTGGCTGTGTGGCTCCCAGATGGTGGCGCTCAATTTCCAGACTGCAGGTAGAGGAGGGCTGGGGCCACCTGTCTGATGTGGAGTCTGGGAATGCCAGGGTTCAGCCAGGATGCTAGTTGGTGCGAGGCCCACCAGCTGAACGGAGCGTTGAGGGCTCTTGGATCAGGTAGGCCCCGTGATCACGAGAGACAGAGGCTGAGGTAGTCAGGCTCCAGAGAACAAGGAAGTATGGTAGCTCACGTAATTATGAAGTCTAGGAGCTGGTTCTTGGGTGCATACTTTCAATGAGGTCTTCAGGAGGTCTTTCCTCTTGGCACGCCCCCTTCCACCGATATTGATATGCTGGGGAAAACACAACATGCACAAATATTTGGGCACAAAATGGCAGCGTAAATCCCAGTGCCTTGCACTTTTGCTATTTAAAGCCCCTTGGGGATCTTATTCACCAGTAACTTCCTTTACATTCCTTTTATAGCTACAAAGGATTCCACTGAATGGAACCATGGTTCATTTAACAAGTCCCCGTGGGGGCCCAGTTAGCTCGTTTCCCATGGTGTGCTATCACGGACGGCACCGCGTCCTGTAGCCTTACGTGAGCCTGGTGTGTGTCAGCACGTCTGTGGGACAGAATCCTCAAAAGGGCAGGGCAGGTCAGACAGCAAGTGCATTCACATTGTGATAAACTTTGCCCTGAAGAAAGCCACTGAGCCCAGTTGTGCCCGACCCAAGCCACTGTGCCCAACCACCCTCCATAAAGAATGCAAATTGGCAGAGTGCAAATACACCATTTTGGCATAATTTCTACATTGTTTTATTGAATTTTTTTAGCCTTTGTCCATCTGATAGGTGAAAATTGATATACTGTCATCAGAGCTTCTCTTATTGGTTTTTCTTTCCTGAGTGACATTAATCAGCTTCTACTTGTTTAGCGAACATTTGCATTTTCTTTCCTATGAACTATTCATGCTTTATCTAATGCAGTAGGTATTTATAGCATACCTTTACCAGAGCTCTTAAAAGGTTAAAAATTTTTATGTACATATTTGTCATTTGAATGGAAGTGTTTCAACTTAACGAAAAATTTTTTTTTCTCGGTAGGCATTTTTAGCTTTTAGTAGGTTATAGTCTTTTATGGTTGTACGTTTTGTGACATGCTTGGAAAGGTGTTCCCCAGTCTGAGATTGTTTTTGAACACCTCATATTTTCTTAGACGCAGATATCTCTTTGAACAACTGCCTTAAATTAATTTTGGAGGAAGGTATATAACTCATTTTCCACCCAGGGGGCCAGCGCCCTGGTGCCTGACTTACGGCAGGAGTTCACTTTCCTTCCCAGATAAGTACATGCAGATGAATCACGCGCTGTTTTCTCTGAACGGGCGGACGGGCTACGTCCTGCAGCCCGAGACCATGAGGACGGACACGTACCAGCCGATGCCGCCCGAGTCCCAGAGGAAGATCCTGATGACGCTGACCGTCAAGGTAAAGCCGGCTCTCCTTCTCGTCCGGGGGGCTGGGCCACCGCGGCCTTTGGAGGGGCTGGTGATGGTTGTCACCTTGTTTAAACCGTCACCACCCAGACAGTGTTTGAGGATCTCGATTGCACTACACCCCAGGGTTACTGGGCAGGTGATGGAGGACTCCCTCTCTGGGGTCCCACTGAGGGCAGCCTCTGGCCAGAGGGAAATGGGAAGTGGTGATTTGGTTGTAAGGAAGGAAGTTTGTCCCCACTCTGGGCAGTTTTAGGCACCAAAGAAATTCATCCAACCTTCTGGAAGGTAGACGAATGAATTGCATTTCTCATGGGATTACAGAAGGAAGAAAGAAATGAAGCGTATGTATCCAAACGTCTTTAAAGACAGACCTCTTACCCAAAGCATGCCACCCTCTCCTGGGTGCAGGGACATCCATGGACTAAGCTTCTTGCCATGGTAGCAGGTGGGAGCTCACCCTTGGGTGCCTGAGACCCACACTTACCCCGAGGTGCTGTTGGAATCCGTCCACACTTGGGAAATCGTGTTGGTGGCCGATTTAGCAGGTTGCTATGACTGCTTCAGTAGCTCAGTCCTCTCAACAGCCTTCTGGGGAAACTGAGGCTGGCTTTGAACTCAGTCTGACTCCAGAATTCAAACACAACTCCATGCTAGATGGCCTATGTGGGACATGTTCAGCTTTTCCCTGGGGGTATCCGGGGAATTCCCATACCTACATGGGGCTGAGCAGAAACTTCCTCCTTGTTCACTGAAGGATCAACTGCCAATGAGGCAGATTCATAAGAGAAAGAGGTTTATTTTCCATGTGTACAGGGAGAAACACAGAGTGATGACCCAGTTTCCCACTGGGGTCCACAAGTTTATGTACTTCCATTTTAGAGGGTTGGAGGGATGAGGAATACAGGTCACTCTATCGAGGGGCAATAAATGGGTACTAGGAGGATGAATGGATGGGGGAAGTGGACTGACTTGTCAGTGAGTCTCTTTGGGAAAAATTAAACTAACCTCAGAGACGGGTATTGCCTTGAACATGGGCTGCATCTTGATCTTCTATCCTGCAATATAGTGAGATCACAGGGAGGGGCAGGGAAGTCCACTGTCCTTTCTGATGGGTCTGCCTGGTGTTCTGCAGACAGAGGGAAAGCCCCTTCCCAAGGCCTGTTGAGTTCCAAGGGCCTTTCATTCAGAATCCTCTTGTACTAAGGAGTCATGTTTTGGGGTGAAACTCCCCGAGGTCCTTCACTTACCTGTGGTGCCCTAGGTCCTCGGTGCCCGACATCTCCCCAAACTCGGGCGAAGTATCGCTTGTCCCTTTGTCGAGGTGGAAATATGCGGAGCCGAGTACGACAACAACAAGTTCAAGACAACAGTCGTGAGTAAGTTGCCTCGGCCTTTTCTTCTTTGCGAGTTGCATCCCACGTGGGGCTGCTGTTCGTCGGGGACTGCGTGATCCAGGCATTTTCATTCCTCTCTCGCCCACCACGGTTCAGCTCAGGGAGGGAAACAAAGGGCCACTTTATTCCATCGTTTCTCTGGCCCTGACACCGGGTTGGTTCTCTCTGTGCCAAAGCCCGACCTGATTTATCCACCGAGTGGAAGGCTAAGCAGCAGAGACGCAGGGGTGGGGGACGGAAGGGCTGACCGGACCTGGGCCATCTTACTCGTAGCAGGCAGGAAGGACAAGAGGAACGCTTGCTCCTCCAGGAGAGGCCGGGAAGAAGGGAGCGTGAACTGTGGGCCTTTAAAGCCACAGAATCACTGCCCGTGGTGAAGGGTAGCTCTGTGAACAACTTAGGCACCAACGGGTTAAATTGCCATTATGGGCCAGAGGAGGTGGCCCACGCCTGGGATCACTCGAGGTCAGGAGTTCAAAACCAGCCAGAGCAAGAGCAAGACCCCCATCTCTACTACAAATAGAAAGAAATTAATTGGCCATCTAATATATAGAGAAAAAAAAAATCAGCTGGGCATGGTGGTGCATGCCTGTAGTCCCAGCTACTTGGCAGGCTGAGGCAGCAGGATTGCTTGAGCCCAGGAAATGGCAGCATAAATCCCCAGTGCCCTTGCACTTTTGCAATATTTAAAGCCCCTGGGACTTATTCACCTAGTTATCTCCTTTACATTCCTTTCATAGCTACAAAGGATCCACTGAATGGACACCATGGTTCATCTTAACAAGTCCGTGGGGGCCAGTTAGCCTCGTGTTCCCATGTTGCTATCACGGACGGGCACCGCGTCCTGTAGCCTTACGTGAGGCCTGGGGTGTGTGCTCAGCCACATTGTGGGACAGAATCTCAACAAGGCAGGGCAGTCAGACAGACAAGTGCATTCACCATCTGTGATAACTTTGCCCTTGAAAGAAAGCCCACTGAGCCCAGTTGTGCCGACCAAAGCCACTGTGCCCCAACCACCCTCCAATAAAGAAGCCAAATTGGCAGAGTTGCAAAACACCATTTTGGCAGTAATTTCTACTATTGTTGATTGGAATTTTTTTAGCCTGTCCATCTGATAAGGTGAAAAATTGTATACTGTCATGCAGAAGCTATCCTTACTGGTATTTCTTCCTGAGTGACTTTAATCCAGCTTCTAACTTGTTAGGCGAACTTTGCAATTTTCTCCATATGAACTTATTCATGCCTTTAATCTAATGCAGTGTATTATAGCATACTTTACAAGTCTTAAAAGTAAAATTTAATGTACATATTTGGGGCACATGACCTGGGCCCTGGGGACAGATCTGTGATGGGCATTCAGAGGCAGGCAGGGGGCTTTCAAGTTCCAGGGGCAAAGGGGCTAGAGTGAGGACAAGGATGCTGTGGTCACAGCCCGAGAGCCTTTGGAGAACTAGAATTCAATGAACCGTGACAGTGTGGCTTTAGGGGGAGGGTTACGGGGAGAGGGCAAGTGACAGAGAATAGCCCCTCCCCATGCCATCCTGAGCCCCGTCTATTTGTGAGATCTGCAGCCGGCCAGGACTGAGCCAGACACCAAACCCGGCTGGAAACATTAAAAGGGAGGAAGGATGGGGGGGGCGATTCTTCAGGAAAGGAAAACACTCAACCCTATTAAAGCTCTGAGGGCGCATCGGGGCGAAGTGGGGTTGGAGGAGGAAACTGCCAGGTGAGCATGGGATTTCTGGAGGGCTGGAACTAAAGCTGGGTGACCCCAAACAGGAGAACAACATGAAGTACTGGGAGAAGAACCAATCGATCGCCATCGAGCTCTCGGACCTGGTGGTCTACTGCAAACCAACCAGCAAAACCAAGGATAACTTAGGTAACACCTTCCCCATGACTCTGCCCCCCCACTGCAGTGGAAATTTCCTTCTGAGCCTGACATTGTCAGGGATGGTGTTTTCCTGCTCACCCGTAGTTGCTCAAGGCAGATGCCTCACCTTGTGTTTGTCCTCGGGGTGAGGATACTGGTGGAAGAGACCCAAACCCAGTTAAAGGGTGGGTGAGTTTTATACTGCTGCTGTAACAAATGACCACAAACTTAGTGGCTGCAGACCAGAAGTCTAGAATCAGCATCCCTGGGCTAAAATCAAGGTGTTGGCAGGGCTGCACTCCCTCCAGGGGGAATCATGTGCTTTGCTTCTTCCGGTCCCTAGTGGCTGCCTGCATTCCTTGGCTTGTGGCCACATCACACTCATCTCTGCCTTTGAGGTCACAGGGCCCCTTTCTCTTCTACCTCCCTGTTGTTTAATAGAAGGACCTTGTGATTGTGTTCAGCACACCTGGATAATCCAGGATCATCTCCCCATTTCAAGCTACTTAATAACATCCATGAAATCCCTTTTGCCGTGCAAGGTAACATTGTCACAGGTTCCAGGGATTGAGACCTAGATATTTTGGAGGCCATTATTCGGCCTACCATGGGGCCCATTAAGAAATAGATCTTCCACCCAACACTCCAAAGTAGCAAGTTCTTTGATGATGCCATTTATATTTTATTTCTCCTTTCTTTGGGTCTGTGGAGCAACTCTTTATCTTTCATCTCAAGAATCTGTGATTCCAGTACAGAAGCCCAGAGAACAATACTAAACCCCAGCGTTCACTCTTACTGGGAGGCAGGTCAGGGACAGGGACAGATGCCAAAGCTCAGGACCGGACTCAGCATGCTCCCAGCATGGCTGTCCCCCTACCTCCCACTCTTACTTTTCCTTCCCGACGCGGGCACCTCCTCCTGTCCCCTCCCTTCCTGAGGCAGTGGCAGTTGATTCTCACTTCCACAAGATGCTTAGTTCATTCATTCATTCATTCATAGCATCCTTGATGAAAAAGTCTGATCTGGTTTTTTCGCCTGGCTCTTCTACCTAAAACCATGCCCACCTTTCCCCTTCCATAACCCCATTCTATACCACTGTTGTGTTTTCTTGTTCAAGACTTTTGGTAGTTTTAAACAAGAAGTAAATTACAATGATTCTAGGCTAAAGGGCTGTAGGGAAGCTTGGCTCCCTTTGAACGTGTGAGGTCCCCCCCCACCTTCTAATACCTGTGACCCCGGGACAGCAAGAATCCACAGTGGTACCAGTTATGGCCTTATCATCACTACCCCTCGCATGCCCTGCCAGAGAGAGACATTCCTGGTTTCCTCTCACACCCTGAGCATCCAGCCGTCGCACTAAGCATTAAGGAACCGTGACCTTTTTCTCTGTGTGTGCAGAAAATCCTGACTTCCGAGAAATCCGTTCCTTTGTGGAGACGAAGGCCGACAGCATCGTCAGGCAGAAGCCCCTGGATCTCTTGAAGTACAATCAAAAGGGCCTGACCCGCGTCTACCCCAAGGGACAAAGAGTTGACTCTTCCAACTACGATCCCTTCCGGCTCTGGCTGTGTGGCTCCCAGATGGTGGCGCTCAATTTCCAGACTGCAGGTAGAGGAGGGCTGGGGCCACCCGTCTGATGTGGAGTCTGGGAATGCCAGGGTTCAGCCAGAATGCTGGTTGGTGCGAGGCCCACCAGCTGAACGGAGCGTTGAGGGCTCTTGGATCAGGTAGGCCCCGTGATCACGAGAGACAGAGGCTAAGGTAGTCAGGCTCCAGAGAAAAAGGAAGTATGGTAGCTCACGTAATTATGAAGTCTAGGAGCTGGTTCTTGGGTGCATACTTTCAATGAGGTCTTCAGGAGGTCTTTCCTCTTGGCACGCCCCCTTCCACAGATTTTTATATGCTGGGGAAAACACAACATGCACAAATATTTGGGCACAAAATGGCAGCATAAATCCCAGTGCCTTGCACTTTTGCTATTTAAAGCCCCTTGGGGATCTTATTCACTAGTAACTTCCTTTACATTCCTTTTATAGCTACAAAGGATTCCACTGAATGGAACCATGGTTCATTTAACAAGTCCCCGTGGGGGCCCAGTTAGCTCGTTTCCCATGGTGTGCTATCACGGACGGCACCGCGTCCTGTAGCCTTACGTGAGCCTGGTGTGTGTCAGCACGTCTGTGGGACAGAATCCTCAAAAGGGCAGGGCAGGTCAGACAGCAAGTGCATTCACATTGTGATAAACTTTGCCCTGAAGAAAGCCACTGAGCCCAGTTGTGCCCGACCCAAGCCACTGTGCCCAACCACCCTCCATAAAGAATGCAAATTGGCAGAGTGCAAATACACCATTTTGGCATAATTTCTACATTGTTTTATTGAATTTTTTTAGCCTTTGTCCATCTGATAGGTGAAAATTGATATACTGTCATCAGAGCTTCTCTTATTGGTTTTTCTTTCCTGAGTGACATTAATCAGCTTCTACTTGTTTAGCGAACATTTGCATTTTCTTTCCTATGAACTATTCATGCTTTATCTAATGCAGTAGGTATTTATAGCATACCTTTACCAGAGCTCTTAAAAGGTTAAAAATTTTTATGTACATATTTGTCATTTGAATGGAAGTGTTTCAACTTAACGCAATTTTTTTTTCTCGGTAGGCATTTTTAGTTTTTAGTAGGTTATAGTCTTTTATGGTTGTACATTTTGTGACATGCTTGGAAAGGTGTTCCCCAGTCTGAGATTGTTTTTGAACACCTCATATTTTCTTAGACGCAGATATCTCTTTGAACAACTGCCTTAAATTAATTTTGGAGGAAGGTATATAACTCATTTTCCACCCAGGGGGCCAGCGCCCTGGTGCCTGACTTACGGCAGGAGTTCACTTTCCTTCCCAGATAAGTACATGCAGATGAATCACGCGCTGTTTTCTCTGAACGGGCGGACGGGCTACGTCCTGCAGCCCGAGACCATGAGGACGGACACGTACCAGCCGATGCCGCCCGAGTCCCAGAGGAAGATCCTGATGACGCTGACCGTCAAGGTAAAGCCGGCTCTCCTTCTCGTCCGGGGGGCTGGGCCACCGGGGCCCTTGGAGGGGCTGGTGATGGTTGTCACCTTGTTTAAACCGTCACCACCCAGACAGTGTTTGAGGATCTCGATTGCACTACACCCCAGGGTTACTGGGCAGGTGATGGAGGACTCCCTCTCTGGGGTCCCACTGAGGGCAGCCTCTGGCCAGAGGGAAATGGGAAGTGGTGATTTGGTCGTAAGGAAGGAAGTTTGTCCCCACTCTGGGCAGTTTTAGGCACCAAAGAAATTCATCCCACCTTCTGGAAGGTAGACGAATGAATTGCATTTCTCATGGGATTACGGAAGGAAGAAAGAAATGAAGCGTATGTATCCAAATGTCTTTAAAGACAGACCTCTTACCCAAAGCATGCCACCCTCTCCTGGGTGCAGGGACATCCATGGACTAAGCTTCTTGCCATGGTAGCAGGTGGGAGCTCACCCTTGGGTGCCTGAGACCCACACTTACCCCGAGGTGCTGTTGGAATCCGTCCACACATGAGAAATCGTACTGGTGGCCGATTCAGCAGGTTGCTATGACTGCTTCAGTAGCTCAGTCCTCTCAACAGCCTTCTGGGGAAACTGAGGCTGGCTTTGAACTCACAGTCTGACTCCAGAATTCAAACACAACTCCATGCTAGATGGCCTATGTGGGACATGTTCAGCTTTTCCCTGGGGGTATCCCAGGAATTCCCATAGCTACATGGGGCTGAGCAGAAACTTCCTCCTTGTTCACTGAAGGATGAACTGCCAATGAGGCAGATTCATAAGAGAAAGAGGTTTATTTTCCATGTGTACAGGGAGAAACACAGAGTGATGACCCAGTTTCCCACTGGGGTCCACAAGTTTATGTACTTCCATTTTAGAGGGTTGGAGGGATGAGGAATACAGGTCACTCTATCGAGGGGCAATAAATGGGTACTAGGAGGATGAATGGATGGGGGAAGTGGACTGACTTGTCAGTGAGTCTCTTTGGGAAAAATTAAACTAACCTCAGAGACGGGTATTGCCTTGAACATGGGCTGCATCTTGATCTTCTATCCTGCAATATAGTGAGATCACAGGGAGGGGCAGGGAAGTCCACTGTCCGTTCTGATGGGTCTGTCTGGTGTTCTGCAGACAGAGGGAAAGCCCCTTCCCAAGGCCTGTTGAGTTCCAAGGGCCTTTCATTCAGAATCCTCTTGTACTAAGGAGTCATGTTTTGGGGTGAAACTCCCCGAGGTCCTTCACTTACCTGTGGTGCCCTAGGTCCTCGGTGCCCGACATCTCCCCAAACTCGGGCGAAGTATCGCTTGTCCCTTTGTCGAGGTGGAAATATGCGGAGCCGAGTACGACAACAACAAGTTCAAGACAACAGTCGTGAGTAAGTTGCCTCGGCCTTTTCTTCTTTGCGAGTTGCATCCCACGTGGGGCTGCTGTTCGTCGGGGACTGCGTGATCCAGGCATTTTCATTCCTCTCTCGCCCACCACGGTTCAGCTCAGGGAGGGAAACAAAGGGCCACTTTATTCCATCGTTTCTCTGGCCCTGACACCGGGTTGGTTCTCTCTGTGCCAAAGCCCGACCTGATTTATCCACCGAGTGGAAGGCTAAGCAGCAGAGACGCAGGGGTGGGGGACGGAAGGGCTGACCGGACCTGGGCCATCTTACTCGTAGCAGGCAGGAAGGACAAGAGGAACGCTTGCTCCTCCAGGAGAGGCCGGGAAGAAGGGAGCGTGAACTGTGGGCCTTTAAAGCCACAGAATCACTGCCCGTGGTGAAGGGTAGCTCTGTGAACAACTTAGGCACCAACGGGTTAAATTGCCATTATGGGCCAGAGGAGGTGGCCCACGCCTGGGATCACTCGAGGTCAGGAGTTCAAAACCAGCCAGAGCAAGAGCAAGACCCCCATCTCTACTACAAATAGAAAGAAATTAATTGGCCATCTAATATATAGAGAAAAAAAAAATCAGCTGGGCATGGTGGTGCATGCCTGTAGTCCCAGCTACTTGGCAGGCTGAGGCAGCAGGATTGCTTGAGCCCAGGAGTCTCCCGATCACCTCACCAGGATGGCTCACTGGGGTGGGGGGAGTTGGGGGACAGGTATGCATCTATAACAAGATCTAAGACACTCTGAGTATTTATTGGCATGGCTGCTAAGGGGGCTTTCAAAGCTGAAGGATGCAGACTGTTTTCCCTGTAGGGGGCAGGCGGAAGGCACCCTCTAATGAGCTTTGATCTCCTTCCAGATGATAATGGCCTCAGCCCTGTCTGGGCTCCAACACAGGAGAAGGTGACATTCGAGATTTACGACCCAAACCTGGCGTTTCTACGCTTTGTGGTTTACGAGGAAGATATGTTCAGTGACCCCAACTTTCTTGCTCATGCCACTTACCCCATTAAAGGAATCAAATCAGGTATGAGGCATTTTAATTAAGATGTACAGTTTGGGCTGGTGTCAGTCTTTGGTCGGTGCTGCTGGCTTTAAAAAGAATGAAAAAGCATTTTGTCCTGGTTTTGATTAAATCACTGTGGAACTGGGTGGCTTGGAGAGCTGGTGCGTGTTCAGCCTGCCGCTTAGCAACTGGTGGGAGGAAGGGGGTGAGATGGGACGCCCTGCTCTTCCAAGTTGTACTTCTACATGCAAAATCGGAGTCTTAGTCGATTGTCAGCCTGGCACTGTAGTCTGATTGCATTTGGAAATGTTATAAGCCGTGTGCCCTCCCCACAGCCAGGCCTCGGTCTGGCCTGAGCTCCCTGGCTGGCAGCAGGACAGGGTTGGGAAGAGAGAGGCCTTTGATATCTGGGGGAAGTTACAGTCTTGGGTCCAACTCTAAGCTTTCAGAATTTGCCTTCCTCTTCTATAAAATGGGGAGAGTCAATTGACTTTGAATTGTTACCATTTTCTTCCATGCTGAACAAAACCCAGAACACCCCATCGTGATTATTTGGAAGGGGCATTTGCCTGAGACCAAGCTGGGTCATGTGACAAGCTCTTAAGGCTCAGGACACCAAGTCAGACCCAGTGAAACTGAAACTTCCCACACCCAGAGCTTGACTCCTCGGGGCGAATCAGGGCCCAAGAGGCTTGGTGCTGCTTCTAGAACCTGTCATTTCTTAAAAAATGTGACTGTCTTTGGGCCGTTGCTGAATTTCCTTCTTCTCCCGTTCCTTAGTATTTCTGATGCATGAGACATAAGAGAATAGATACTTCTGGGTTCCTCAGGAGGTCACTGTTCCCTTGTTTTCTAAGGATCATTTTTCAAGAGAAAGATTATCGTCATCAGTCTTTTGGCCAGGTGTGGTGGCTCGTGCCCGTAAGGCCAGCACTTTGAGAGGCCAAGGTGGGAGGATCACTTGAGGCCAGGAGTTTGGGACCAGACTGAGCAAGACCCTATCTCTGCAAAAAAATAAAATAGTATCTGGGCACGACAGTGCATACCTGTTGTCTCAGCTACTCAGGAGGTTGGGGCAGGAGGATCCCAGGAGTTTAAGGCTGCAGTGACTATGATGACGACACAGCACTCCAGCCCAGGCAACGTGTCTTAAAAAAAAAAAAAAAAAGTCTACTTGGAAAGTTTGGATTCAATGAAAAACTAAAAAGACCTGAACTAGATTTTTTTTTTTTTTTTTTAATTTGGAACATCTCAGACATTTCTTCTGTTGGCCTAATTTTTGAGCAGCAGGCATGTTGGAGGTTGCAATTAGAAAATCCAGGTTTCCTGGGCCCCCCATGGTGGGGGAGGGGGCTCCACTCCAGTCTAGGGTGGGGCCCAGGAATTTGCATGTGTTGCCAGCTGCTCA